CATGACATTCACAAACCCACGGGCGCTGGGCTCGAAGGAGTCTCTCTGGTGTTTCAGGGTCTTACAAGCTTTGTGTTTGACAGGGTTCAGTCTTAGCATTTTTCTACTGCTCAATTTAGTGGAAAATAGGAGTTTCCCTTTTCTGACAGGTTTCTGCTGTATACAAGTTCTGTTTTCCATAGGTCATACTATATGTATTTTAACCACAATGAGATTTAAAAACACAAACACTAAAGATCCCACTCCCTGTCCTGCTCTGCCATCCCACCGCCTGCCTCACAGTCTGGATGCCTTAAGCCCGGATTCTAGGCCTCTATAATTTGGGTTCAGCTACTTCTCCTCCACGATTTCCCTCCGTGTCTCTCTGTTCTGGTCAAATTAGCTTTTGGGTATTTCTTGAAAATGTCTTTTCCTCGTCTCCTACCACACGCACTGCACTGTGTAGCTTCTCCAGGCAGGTCCTCATCGTTTTCATTCGTCACCTTACCTTCAACGTCAACTAGGATGCCGTGGCCTTCAGAAAGCCTACCCTGATCCTCCCAGACAGAATCACCTTTTCCTGGCCTCTGTACCTCAAATAACGGCTCTTTATCAGACACAACAGTCCTGTAAGGAGGGTAGGGGCACAGGCACCAGAGCGTGACGGCCTGGCTGGTCATTGTAATGGCTCAGACAGAGCACTCCCCACTGAGTGTGGGGCCCTCCTTTAAGCAGGGCTGACGTTTATGCTGCCCGCACCACAGCTCACAGGACTGTCCTGAGCGTTACTTGGGGGCCAGCAGGAGGACACAGGGAGCACCAGAGCCCCCTCAATGAGTGCACAGCCTCACTGTGGGCTGTGCGGGGAGACCTGTGCTCGGGACAGGGAGCCCCAGGCTCTTGGCCAGCACAGCGTAGCTGGCCCAGGTGGCCACCAACAGGGAGCCTTCCCAACTGTCTGTCGTAGTGCTCCAGAAGTGCAGAGTGCGTGCGACCCAGGGACAGTCTCCTCTTCAAAAAGAAAATAAAGTGGCTACTTCCTTGTTGTTCATTTTGAGACCAAAGTACCTCACCCAGGAGCTCCCTTTAATAAAGCTGCTCTAAGCCTTAAGCTTTAATACATACATACATACATACATACATACATACATACATACATACATACATACATACATACATACATAGCAAGCTCTCATCAAGGGCGCTTCTCCGGATCAATTTCTCAACACAGCTGGTATTTGCTGGGGTATTTTTATCCAAGAGACAGTCCTAGGTTGACCCAGCCAATATGGATTCTAACTTCCAATTTTAAAATTATGCTATTAGGTGTTGTTGTGTGCCGTCAAGTCACCTGCAACTCATAGTGACCGTATGTACAACTGCCCTACACCCTGCTCTAGTCTGTGCCAATCTTATTGTCTCTGACATACCTACTACCCCAGTGACAGAATTAATCCATCTCATTGAGCGTCTTCCTCTCCTGAACTGTCCCTCCACTCTCCCAAGCACGCCATCCCTCTCCAAGAACTGGTCCCTCCTTGCAACATGCCCAAGGTATGGTAGACAAAGCTTCAGAATCCTTGCCTCCAAGGAACAGCCTGGTTTCACCCTCTCCAGGTCAAACTTATTTGTCCTCCTAGGGGTCCATGGTATATTCAACACTCTTCTCCAACACCACAGTTCAAAGGCATCAATTCTCTTCCTATCATCCCTAGTCATTGTCCAGCTCTCTGATGCATAGCAAGTGATGTCAGTCTGGAGACTAAGGTGCGCCTGATGGTCTTTGCAATCACTTGCTATAAGGTATGCTCTCAACAACAAAAGGAACCCTGCGCCAAATGGGAATTATGTATCAGATATGGCTACTTTAAAAATAAAATGGTCTGTACAGGAACTGCCACCTATCCCAAGACCAGAAGGACTATCAACAGCTGTGGTCAGGACACCAAGAAAGGGACTCAGACATGAGAGAAAAACAGAGAAGAGCACTTCAAATTCCTAAAACACAAAACACAACACCCCGCCTCCTGGGCTGGTTAAGATAAGCCAACTCCAAGGAAGAGACCCCGAGACACTCTGCAAACTCTGACATAAATGAACCCTGGAGGTATTCATGTGGGAGTGAAAGGAAATGCTCCTTTCAAAACTCTCCTCTAAGGATGAAGCAGTCAACAATGACCTTTAAACAAAGCAAGAATGCAAGCAGGCAGGGAAACTAGATTAAAAGAAGACAGACACCAGAATGGGAATGATGAAAATGTGCATGTATCATGACAAACACTGCTGTACGATGTGTAGAAATCGCTGAACAGGAACCTAAATTGCTCTGTAAACCTTTCCTCAAAACACAGTCAAATATTACTAAGTAGAAAAAACAAAACAAAACAAAACACCGCAAATGGCTGCAACCATTTTCTTTAACTTGAGTTTCTGTACCTGAATAAAATCCGCACCATGTGATGTAAATGTACTCTCTCTATGTTGGAAAGGAGCTCGGGTGTGAGAAAGACGTCTGTAGCGGGAAAGCGGGGCAGTCTCCTCCTGGACTCAGAGCCCCTAAAACCCACGGGAGGGCCTGCTATGGGCTGGTTCTGGCCCAACAGCAGTAAGTTTTTGAGATGTTGTCTAAAGTTGACATCCAAAACCAGGAGAAATATTAATTCGGAGAAGCTTCTAGGAAAATCCCGTTTACTCTAACATCTTCACCAGTTATCAAAATGCCCTCTTCCTGGGGATACCAGCACACTTTCCAGTCATCTGACAACCTGACGATGCTGATTCCCATATGATCCTCTTTTTAAAAACACTTGCTAACATTTCAAAAGTTTTACACCAGGTATCTTGGGCGATAATAATCTGTATTTACAAACTTTTAACGAAAAACATACAAAAATGAAATATTGGCTCTCGCCACTAAAAAACAAACAAATCTTTACACTTTGAAGTTCTGAGGAGGGATTCTATCTTGGGCCTTAAGAAAACCATAACCTTCCAGGTTCTTTTAAAAAGGCATGTTATCAGAGTTCTGTGATCATTACAGAAAGTCAAACAAGAGAGAAATGTGTAAGAAAAATATTAATAATTTACCTTTCCCCTCACTTTGATGTAAGGCTGAGAAGTTGGCATTCTTCTGTACACACACACTCCTCTCTCTCTCTCACGCACTCTGTCTCTCTCACACAAATACATCCCGGTGTTGTATAATTAAAAGGGGGCCATACTATATGCTATGCACTTTATTTCATAAAGAGGCCTCAGTATTCCACAACCACTCCAGCCATCGACACACGTGTTCCTTTACAGGTTTCTGGGTTATTTAAGCACTAAATGAACAAATTAAAACAAATAAATACCAGCCCGGAACTGAACTCACTCCTACAACTCAAATTTCATCCAAACAATAGACAGGAGTGTGAGTGAACTCGTAAGCTAAACAGCGAGGCACTGCTTAAAGCCAGCAGGAGCAGCCTGTGCCCAGGGGGCTGAGGCCAGAAGCCAGAGAGGGACAGAGAAACAGACAAGAGGCACAAGGGGCAGCGTGGAGTGATGTCACACAGTGGGGACTGCACTCTGTGGTCCGATACAAAACGTGAACGACCCGCTAAATAAGAAGTTGACTGGCTCGGAAACGTTCCTCCAAGTCACAACTAAAAAAAATGCATACAATGAGAAGTGCTTTCATCTCTGCTAAAAAATATCTATATATCTATATATATAGAAACCCAACCCCCCAAAATAACTAGAAACAAAACAACCCACCAAAAAAACAACACAATAAAACCAAACCCCTCTGCTTCCCCTCCCAGTCAGCTCCGCCTCCCAGTGACCATGCAGGACAGAGCGGGCGGCCCCACACGGTCCTAAGGCTGCAAATCTACCGCCTGTAGATCTATGAAAACATCCTTCTGCAGCTGAGATGCTGGCAGATTAGAACCACCAACCTCTCAGCAGCTCAACGCCTCGTTGACTGAGTGCTCCAGTTCCTTAGCCCCGTTAACGTCTGTCACCCGGGCCTACGTGGCAACGGGCAGGCCAAGCCAGGGCTGACACTTCCAGGCCCGAGAGCCACTCAGTCCCCTGACGGTCAGGCTGACCGGAGGAGTTCTCAGGCAATCTGTACATGTTGTTGTTGTTGTTATGTGCTGTTGAGTTGCCTGCGACTCATAGTGACCTTATGTACAACAGCCCTAAACTCCTCTCTGTCCTGTGCCAATCGCACTGCCTCTGAAACTCCCATCTCAATTATCCCGGTCACTGAATCAATCCACCTCATAGAGGGCCTTCCCCTTACTATTTAGAAAATCCCAGAGATTCCAGAGCTGTAACATTTATAAAAACGGACTGCTCCACCTCCCCCCGAGTCCCCAGTGCAACCACCGACCTTTTAGTTAGGAGCCGAGTGTTTTAACCACTGCACCACCAGGGTATTACAAGGGTTTAAGAACAGGTTGAAGCGTGTGATGCGAGTGAACTGTGCATGCATAAACACAGACAGCTGGGGTGGCAGACGTGCTCCTACGTGTATCTCTACTACAATAAAATGAATGTTAGGAGAGAAAGACAACACAATACGAGCGAGGGCTGCTTCCCCAACTCTGGGGATGCACAAATGTGGATTCCTGGAAAGAGCTTCCAGGCTGTGGGGAAGTCTAGACCTTGAGAAGGCTGCCTGGAGACCCCGTACTCCCTTGTGCTTATTTCCATGAACCTTAAAACCAGAACACCCAGTGTTCTCCATCAAGTGCACGGCAGCTACTGCCAAGCCCGCAGCACGCACAGGAAGGCGGATGGGGTCCCGGGGCTCATGGAAGCACCTTCATGGGAGCTGCCGGCCTCCCCTTTCTCCTGTGCGGTGAGTCTGAGCCGCAGCCCAGTGCCTTAGTTACCAGGGCTCCTTCTAAGAAACCCAGGCCGACCCTTACTGCAGCATGGGAAGGTCCAGGGCGGCTCTGCGTTCATAAACAGACAGACAGAGCCAGGGAGACACACACACACACACACACACGCCCTGCCGCACTCACCTGTGCAGGAAGTGGAGCTTGTGCATGGCGGCCAGCGCTGCGGCGACCTCACACGCCAACCTCTGCAGCAGCATCGTCTGCGAGTCCCCACGCACCTGATCCTGCTCGTTGCGCAGGTACGCTTTCAGGTCGCCCTGCAAAGAGGAGCATCGGTGAGTGGCACGCCAGGACTCCAGTGGGAGTCAGGGACCAAAGTGCACACCTTCCTCAACACAGAGCAAGACAACGACTCATCACAGTGTACTGACCTGAGGCAAAGGACGAGACCTGGACTCAGGAGTAATCCCAACCAGAGGTGTCAGGGGTCTAGAAGGCCACCCTCTCAGGGCCATTCTAAGGTTAACCTTTTTCTCATAGAAACACTCCCATATAAGCATCTGTCAAACCGTTCAAGCCCTGTGGCCAACTTCTGGCCTACATGCTTGTAAGGTGAATAATGACGCTAGAGGGGAACACACACTTTAACGACGAATCACACAAGAACGAGAGGGCAGTATTTGCCCACAGAGAAAATATGAGAGGCAGGAAGGGAAGGAGAGAAAGATGAATGAAAACCAGAATCACAGGGGGGAAGCAGGAAGGATGTATTTATAATGTGGGTGTTGTAATTAGTGACATAAAACAAAATGTGTATGAATGGTTGAATGGAAAACTAACTGCTCAGGTATAAGAATTTTAAAAATTTATTTTATTTCATTATTTTTTGTGTGTACCGTCAAATCAGATCTGACTGGTACAGGAGGAGATTGTTCTTCCTTCTCCAGCAGAGCATCTGGTGGATTTGAACCGTGCACCTCTGAGACTGTAGTTGCAGCTTCTTGCCACTAGGCCACCAGAGCTGGCCAAGAATTTTAAAAAAAGAAAACAGAATAAAAGAAACCCAACTGGAGCCCACTCCACCTTTGCACTGCTGCTGTTAGCGACCACAGGGCCAGGAGTTAGAGAGCGGCCCTGCAGGGGGCGCATTCTGCATGGCTGTTAGTGACCACAGGGCCATGAGTTAGAGACCGACCCTTTAGGGGATCCAATCTTCACGACTGTTAGTGAGCACAGGGCTGTGAGCTAGAGACCAGCCCGGCAGGTTGTGTAGAAGGATGGAGAGCTCTAAGTCAGGAAGAGATGAAATGAGGAAGAAAATTGGGATCACTAACTCTACCTCGACGGCACGTAACAACAACAACAACAACAACAACTCGACCTCTGGGGGATTTGGGGAAACACAGTCCACAACCATTTATCCTGATGAGTGTGGAACGCGAGAGAAAGACAAAGCGGGAAAAGTGTGAGAAACATGTCCTCAGTGTGGGCAATGATGTCTGGAGTTCCGAGAAACTTTCCCTGGCTTGCTGGTACCCAGAGACCCCAGTGAAAAAGAACATTCTAGAAAAAGTGACAAAGTTAACAAGAAGCTTACTCAGAGGGTAGCAGAATGAGAAGGAAAAGGGGCAAATTCCACTGGGGCACCCAGTACCCATCACAGGCAACGTCGTCGAGTCAATTCCGACTCAGATACCCCACAGGACAGAGCATCGGCCCACAGACTGCCCCACTTTCTCCCGCTGAGCAGCTGGTGCGTGTAAACATCAACTTTTTTGCCAGCAGCTCAGTACTTAAGCCCCTTCAGATACGCACGGGGAAAGGCCCCACGCACTCGGGTCTGACTTCTCCCGGTCCCCGCCTCACTTCATGACTTTTGAGGCCTGCACAGCTTGTGGGTTTACTCTATCTCTATCTTGGGGAGTAAAAAAAGCTTTTGAGGAGATAAATCTGTATTCTGCCAAATCACATGATTAAGTATTTTTTGATACTTAGCTCTCTAAATGAAAGCTTTCTATAATCAAAAGCCAAACAAAAGCCACTGCCTTGGAGTCCATGCCAGCTCACAGCAACTCGAGGACAGCAGGAGCACCCCCCAGGGTTTCCAAGGCCATGCATCTTGCCAAAAAGCAGGCCGACGCATCCTTCGGTACAGCTGCTGCCCCACCAGGGCAAGTCTGAGCAGTGTGTGCGAGGCATTGGGGGGTTTGACACAGGTTACTGCAAATCATTCTCCCACCCAGCAAAGTCTTACAGCTAGAGGCCGAGGGGGGGAATTTACCACAGAGCTAAGAAACAGAGGAGCTGCGAGGCTACTTTTCCGTTTACACTGGGGATTAAGCCTTGGGCTGCTAACCGAAAGGTCAGCTGGAATCCACACCCCTCAATTTAGGAAGAGGGGTGATCATCAGTTTGTAAGAGCACAGCCTTGGGAACCCCGTGGGGCCATTCTACGATCCTATGGGGCTGCCCCCAAGGGCCTTGATAGGTTGGTTGGGTTTGTAATCTTGGGCTTAACTGTCAAGACATTCAATTCAGGAAGTGGGCTAAGTGACTGCACAGTTTCTGTTACTGTTGTTGTGTACCCCAGAGTTGGAACCAACCCTCCAGTGGGTTTTCAAAGGCAATTAATCACACAGTAGGAGACTGCCCATCCTGAGGAGCAGCTGGTGACCTCGAACCACATGCCTTCGGGACTGCAGCGCAATTTCTTGCCAGTAGGCTACCAAAGCAGGTCAGTCACACCACTGCTCACCAACTTCCCCAGACACCATGTACACCAGCTGACATCTCTAGCCACCTGCTCCCACTGGAATGAAAATCCACTCCAAGGGAAGCAGACAGCTCCACACACACTCCCTACCTCCCACCTTTGGTCCTCGAACAACACGGCTTTGAGGTGCACGACCCCACTTACATGCAGATTTTTTTTCCCTGTTGCAAGAGTTGTTAGCTCAAGTATTGCAAGTATTTGCTTAAAACTCCATGTGATGGTCATCTACACCACACAGCCTTGTAAGTGGGTATGAGCAATACCTGAGCCCTCACAGTTCAGATCCACGGAGGTCAAGCATCGACATTAAGTTGTAACTGGACTTTCAACTGTGGGGGAGGCTGGCAATCCCTAAGCCCCTGCCTTGTTCAAGGGTCAACCGTGTCCGCCTCTCCTCACTCTCATACATTTCCCTTTCCTACCGGATAAAGGTCTTGTATTCAAACTAAACAACTTCAAGACTCAAAAGTAAGAAAAACAACCACCCAAATGCATGCAAGATAGACAAAAGCTATGAAGAGACACCCAACACAGACAGCACACAGATGGTGGATGAACATATGAAAGATATTCAACGTATGTAACTAGAGAACTCCAAGTTAAAACCACCATGAGCTACGCTGCATGCCCTGGGGTGAAAGAACAGCCTGCAGTAAGCAAAATGTGCATGGGCTTAACTGCGTTGACCTGCTAAATCCCCAGCATCAATCTCAGATGGGCTTCTCCCACCTTTGATGTGGGATTAAGTCAAACTGTGCTAGGCAAATTGGTAGGCAGGTCTAATCGGGCCTGTGAGTGCCCTGCTTACAGAGAAGTTCCATCCTGTACACGAGAATCCGAAAGACTGACCTCATCAAATGCGAGTGAGGGCATCGGCCGTCCACTGCTGGTGGGACGCATGTGGACGGTGCAGTCAGTCTGCAAGCCTGGCTGGCAGTGTCTCAGAAAGCTGCAGAGTCTGACACTGGGATGCTGGGTTATTTACCCAAAGGAGACAGAAACGTAAGGTCACAGGAAAACCCTCCTACAGGTGTCTACTGCAGCTTTATCCAAGTCCCCTTAAACGTAAATGTGAAGCAACCAAGAATCAGAGGCACAGGTGCACATACAAACTACAGTACACGACACCACGGAGTATTATTCAGTTTTTTTTAAAAAGCCATCAAGTCATGAAAGAACGTGAACAGTAAATGCTCATTGCTCAGTGAAAGGAGGCGGACTGAAAAGGCTATGTATTGTATGGTTCTAACTATGCTGTTGTTGTGTGTTGTCAAGTTGGAACCAACTTATAGCTGACCGTCTAGCAAGTTTTCAGAGGCAATAAACTGCTCAGGAGGAGACTGTCCATCCTGTTCTCTTGAAGCAGCTAATGAATTTGAACCATGTGCCTTTGGAATTGCAGTGTAGCTTCTTACCACTGGGCTACCAGAACTCCTCTTCCAACTACTTACACTTTCAAAAGAAGGTGAAACTAGAGAGACAGTGAAAAGATGAGTGGTTGCCAGGGTCCCCAGAGAGGGAGACAAGGCTGGCAGGATGGGGCAGAGGGCATTTTCGCTGTTGTTGCACATGCCACTGAGTCAATGCAACTCACAGCCCGTACAGGAGTCTGGCTGTGCACCAGTCCTCACGCCCCTCACCAAGTGCGAGCTCGCTTGGCAGCCACTTTCAACCTGCATCACCAACACCGAGAGACGTGTCCTCTTTCAGTGACCTCCACGTTAGCAGGCATGATACCCTTTCTCCAGAGACTGGGCCCTGCTGAGAACATGCTCAAAGTACCAGTGTGTGAGACTAAGCCCCTCACTTGTTGAGATCCAGGTGGTCTTCAGGGCAGTGAAGCTGTTCTGTCCAGTGCTGGAATGGTGGACACAGGGCTTTGCGTACGGGTTTAACACAAACAACACAGGCTAAACAACACACAGAGAAGCCCGCCTGAAAACCGTGGTGCTTGGTTAATGACGGATTACTTCATCTCCTGGGCAAGTGGACCTCAGGAATGCAAGATGTCAACATGGGGCACCGTGTTTAGTGGGGAGAGGCACACAGGGAACTCTGCCCTTTCTGTTTCGTTAAACTTAAAATGCTTTTTAAAAGTCTGGGGAGGGGTGGGAGACACAATCCTTTGCACCTGTCCTTCCCAATTCCCTTCTAGGCTGGACTTCTTCTGGCACAAGAGTGCTAAGAATTAATGATGATTTTTATGCTAATTAAATTAAGAGAACAATTTTAACAAAATACTTAAGATCTACAGGTTAATGGGATTTTCCTAAGATAGCCCATATGGAAATGAAATATGAAAACAAACAGCTTAAGTGTATTTACATTACCAATGAAATGGCAACTCAAATCCATTTGCCTAACCCTTTACAACAATATCCACTTAAGGGAAAAAAATGACTCTCACAGGAAGCCTGATTATGCTGTGCTCGCTCTGGCCAGTTTTCAAAACAAACAGTAGCTGCGGCTGGCAAAGTAAAGGCTCCTTACAAGTGAGGGTGTAGTTATTTTTCAATATTATCTAAAGTGCATTCATTAGTACTC